AGGACTTCTTCCTGGTTCATTTAATATTTTCCAAACTATTTTGACTTTGATTCCTTTTACAGTTCGTTGGTGACTAGGGCATTGATTGAGAATTCACACCTGATAAAGTGGTCCTTGCTGTTTAAGGCTTTCTCTGGTCTTTTTGCCTTAATATGTGGAAATGGTTATATAGTTGGTATCAATCAGATCTATGATATTGGAATTGACAAGTATGTATATCAATATTTTTTCATTAATCAGTTTAAATTTGTTTGTTTTCATACTCAAATGTCATTCTTTCTTGGCTTCTAAATATCAGATCATTTGGCATGGTAACTGCTTAGGAACTAGATCAACAACCAATTATGCGATTGATTTTTTTTTTTTTAAAAAAACAAGAAGCAAGATTTCATTATAGCATTTTTAGAATTATAAATCACATATTTTAATCTTTGTCCTGATTAAAACCACTGAACTCAGCTTGGAAAATCATTTCTTCTAATTTTCAACATTTTTCATGAGCTTTTTCCTGATTGACATTTGTTTTATCCATTGAAACCTCATGAATAGTTTGGTTAGGAGACCTCTGTTGATCCACATAATAAATAGTAACGCATATTAGTTCAATTTACTACATATTTTGAGAACATATATTAAGATGACGATGCAATTGTGGCATATAATGTCCCCTTTTTTTGTTTCATTTCCAGAGTGAACAAACCGTATTTACCAATAGCCGCAGGAGATCTTTCAGTCAAATCTGCATGGATCTTGGTGATATTTTTTGCAGTGGCTGGTCTGTTAATTGTTGGATTGAACTTTGGACCATTTATTACTTCTCTCTACAGTCTCGGTCTTTTCCTCGGGACTATCTACTCTGTTCCTCCATTTAGAATGAAGAGATTTCCTGTAGCAGCATTTCTTACAATTGCTACGGTACATCCGTTTCTCTTCCCTTCAAAATTTCAACTTCAGTTCATGTCACATGGTCTTAATAAAATATTGAAAGGTGCTGAATATAAAGAAGTTGGGGAAAATTTAATGAATGGCAAGTTGAAAAAGTATGGCGCGTTTGCTCGCTACCTGAAATTGAGCTACAGGTGATTGCTTAGCTGATTTCAAGTGAAAATCTGACTGTCCACTTCAAGGAGTATGACTGTTTAAATATTTGCACAAAGTTAATGGCTGAGTTCAAACTCCCAATTTCAGAAAATATATTTTTGAGAAATTTAAAACATATTCCACTGGTATTTAAATACTTCGTTACTGTGTCAAGATCTTCTTGGCTATCCAATTTTATACAATTTCGCTATAAGTTGAAAGAACTATTATTTGATTTCGGTTCCAAGAATTTCCATTCTAGTTCTGAAATTGAGAATTCTGGTTTAGGCAATTAATTAGTTTGAAACACAAGAGCTACTTTAAACTCTTATCGTGGTTATAATGTGCATTGCCAGTACCTATTTTCCCCAAGAGCTAAAGCTTTACGAGCATATCATCTGGTTGGCATGTGCTTTTGTTGACAATATGGATAATAATTCAAACAGTGAACTAAATGCTGCAGGTACGAGGTTTTCTTCTTAATTTTGGTGTCTATTATGCCACTAGAGCTGCTCTTGGACTTACCTTTGAGTGGAGGTTAGTCGCCATTAATAATTCATAATGTATTTGAGTTAGATTGAATCAGGGTGCAGATATGTGGTCACTACTTTAAATTGAGTATTCTACTTAAGTTTGAAAACAAGAATTGTTAATGCTTGACAAAAACCACATTTACGTCGAGATACATACAATTTGTCTATTCAACCTGAATTTTGAACCATCGTGGAATAGGTGTCATTGTTCAATGAACTTCAATAAACTAATTCGATAAACTAGGTATTGCCAATAGTATAGGATTGTCACGGCCCCGATTTTCAAGGCTTCAAAAAATTGGATTGCGACCGATAGTGACAAAAACACAAACAAAACAGAATTAAAAATAAAAACAAACCACTGAAGATGAATTAAAATTTTGCAGGGATTAAAAGACATGCAACATTAGTGTCAAAAATTCAAAGTCCAAAAAGAAGGGCCATGCAAACAAATGTTCAAGTTATTTACAAACGGGGAAGGGGCACAGGATACAAAAAGAATACAAAATCAACCCTAAAAAATACAACTGACTAACGCTCCAGTCGATAGTGCTCAGTGACAGTGCAGCTCACTAGTACCTCCCCAACTCAATTGGTGCTTGAAAAAGAAAGGGAAAAAGGGGTGAGTATAAAAAAAGATATACTCAGTAAGCAACCTACTTATAGGCTTTCATCGCATCCTTCTCTTAGTAGGTTTCCACAACTTTCCTTTTGGTCTCTAGGAAGTTTGGGCTTATCCCTTACAACGCTCTAAGCTACTGTGTAGGTCTCGAAGTTCCAACTGATTCCTCATCAATCGTCGACTTGTATAGTCCCTAGTACCTCTTCGAGACTGATTTATGATGTCACAACATTGGCCTTGATCGGTTCCAACACAATAGAAGTGTTCATCCTAAACCACCTACCTGCGTAGTCCTTGATCTCTTCCAAGATCGGTTTACAGAGCCGCGACGTCGGCCTTGACTTGTTCCTACACTCCATAGGGATTCTCATCCTGACACCTACCCATGTAGTCCCTAATCCAACCCGGACTGGTCTATAGGCTCACCCGTCTCTACACTCAATAGGAGTCCATATCTTGAGCTAACTACCTGTGTAACCCCTAGTTCTTCTCCTGAACTTTCTCCCCTCCCTCTCCTTTCTTTTCTTTTCTTTAGTTTTCTTTTTCTTTATCTTTCACTGATCCCTGTTTTCATGTGCCTAGGAAGGAGGACAGAATAATCAAAATACCCCTTCTGGGGTTGACTTTGACCATTTTTTTTTTTCACATTTTTACTATTATATATTTATATTTTTGAGTTCATGGGACTTTTCCAAGCATTTTTCTCTTCTACATAATTTTGAAATTTGATCTCTAAGGCTCTCAATAAAATCTTGAAAGCTCGGACTTAATAAGAAAAACTAGGTATTTAGCACCTCGCGGAGACTCGGGTGGTACAAGGATATTGTGGGGTCTTAAGTTATAGGAAAAATGGAATATAGTGATTCACATTCCAAACAAGCACACGCCAATGTCATAAATTTATGGCCTGGGGATTTTATACTAGATTGTGAACTTTTTTTTTTAAAAAAAATTTCATGTATCTTTACTGCAATTAATGCTTTAGTATATGCTGTTTCTTCATAGTTCCAATATTTTTCGTGTGTTTAGGATCTGAAGCTAATGCAAGATTTTCTCTCGATGAAAGTATCGCTTGTAGTTGCTTATTAGTGATATTGAAACTATAAAGAAACGACATGATAGTCTGTATAAATAGAATCACGATGTTAGTATCTGCTTTTAGTTTTTTAAGCTTTAGTTACCGATGGCACTTACAAGGCACAAAAGTTTACGTAGATTTTTATATGTGGACATTATATTCCTTGCAGCTCACCTGTGGCTTTCATTACCACATTTGTGACCCTGTTTGCTTTAGTGATTGCCATAACGAAAGATCTTCCAGATGTGGAGGGAGATCGCAAGTAAGATGCCCCAACTACTTCGATGGTGACAAATTTTTTAGTTGAATTGACGTTGTTCCCTCAACCCTTTTTTCCCAACAAACCCTACTTTTTTTTTTTCCTTCCTATTTCCTCTACTTATGCTTTGCATCTCAATTCTTTTAGAAGTATATATTAGGAAATTATCATGTCGTCATCTGAATGAGAATTGTAATTAAGGTTTCAGATATCAACCTTAGCAACAACGCTTGGTGTTAGAAATATTTCATTTCTTGGTTCTGGACTTCTGCTGTTAAATTATGTTGCTGCTATAGCGGCTGCAATTTACATGCCTCAGGTCCGTATGACATTTTAACTATAAATACTTTTACGTATCTTTTTGAAGTAAAATTGCCATATTTCATCTTTACAGGCTTTTAACCGTAACATAATGATCCCTGTTCATGCAATCTTGGCATCGTCCCTCATTTTCCAGGTTCATTTCTTGCACTAGTCTCCCACAAACTACGAATGATGTGCTATATTGTGTCTATAAATTTCTTCCTGCTATTATTTTCTTGATTAGCCTGTATTAATACTAACCAAGGACTAAAGAAACCCTGTCCTCGAGAACACCTAATTTATATGTATTGACTCTAAACTTACAAAATCTTGTTTCTTTTGAATCTCAGTCATGGTTGTTGGAGAGAGCAAATTATTCAAAGGTAAATTCCAGTTCTGGCTTTCATATCAGTAACTACAATGAGCGTTTTATCTTCCTTTATACGTTGTTTACTTCAAAGAGTGAGCGACTAAGGCAGGTTTGTTTCCAACCCATGAAATTCTGGAGCCTAATAATTAATTTCATTTGTTTTGCAGGAAGCAATCTCAACATTTTATCGGTTTATATGGAATCTCTTCTATGCTGAGTATATCATATTTCCTTTGATCTAGCAGAACAATCCCTTTGTTCATTTAATGAACTTTTTGTGGGTGCATGAGAAATAAAAAGCAAGGATGTATTCAATTTTTTATCTTGTAAATATTGCCATAAAATTTTATAGATTCATGTTGTATTATCATCTAATGAATTTTAGTTATTTCAATTGCATTCTCCACATTTTGTTCTTTGGAGCATTTTCAGTCAGATTTACGGTGCTGATTGTAATTCTAGCCATAGTCTGTAATATTTATTGTGCATTATAACTTTTACCCTGTGTGAGCAATAAAGGAAAGACAAAAAGAAATCAATAAATTGAGTAGAAATTTTCATTATTTCGGGATATGGATATGTATGTAGGGCAAAGAGGATAGAATGTCAACTTTTTGTGCAACACATGCCAGACTTCCAACCTCCAACATCTCTTTTCACTCATTGTCAGTACATGATCTTACAAATTAAGAATAGAGGATATGGATTCTCCACAGTTGGCTGAATGGGCCAGGTATCACTTTTCTTCTTCGAAATTGTCAAACAGTTTGAAGGGTTTTGATTGTACAATTTGGCTTAATTTTGATTGTTGTTGAATTAGGAAATCATGTTATGATGACAAACATTAAGGTAGTTTAGAGACAAAAATAACTCTGTTAGTTATGTAAACAGAATACTCTCTTTGGGGAAATCTGAGAAGATGATACCTCTGCTTGCAAAGAGTCTCTGCGTCTATGTATATTAGTAGGCAATGAAAGCATGCAAAAGCGTTTCATCCCTCAGTCCATGTTGGAGTCTAAAGAAGCACATTAACTATGTATATATATATCATCTTTTCTATCCAGTAATTGCAGAGTATTTACGTGTGTTACACACGTTTGTTATTTATATTCTAATTACATTCAGCCGAAGGTGTTGCAGTTTGAGACAATACCTGGCAATTTGAAGCAAGCAGACTTCTGGTTGTGCTCATGTCTTTACATGAAATTGGAGTCGAAGTCATGGAGCCAATTCGAGATTGAGTCCGGGAATGAGAAGCATGAACAACTCTATCTCTGGGAGACAAGTTAGCTTGCTCCAATACCTTGTTCTGAAGCTCTTGTGGGTAATCTCTCATGCAACCAATGCGAGGTCCAGCTCCAGTTGTCCATCTGCTTGACAATTGTTTTGCCAACTGATATGATTTCATTTCCTTGTGTGAAACAATTCGCCTTAAGATTTTCTCTTTCTGGATTGGTTGATCATCATTGTCTTCTTCATCTTCGCCAAAGAGGTTAGATTTAGGAACCATGAATTCTTTTTCTGATAAGAATGATTCTTCAGCTGTTTCGTAGCCATCGTCGGAGGGAGAATCTGGAATGAGAGCTCTACAACTAGCTGGAAGTGTTTCCTTCTTGAATATGTCAAACACATTGCTTCTTTCTGGTATTTGAAGGTTAGTAAGCTTTGATCGTAATCCTCTTGATAATCTTGATATTCGTGGTTTTTGAGTCTCTGCAGGATTAGAGACAAGAGGTCTAGATGGATTATTCTTGTCGATTGTGTCTCTAATATTTATTCCACCAGCAACGTCTTGAGAATCTTCTTGAAGATAGGTGAATTTGTCTTTGGTGAGAAGTTCTTCTTCCTCATATGGGCTTTTCTGAGTATAGTATAGGCATATAGAATTCAGGTTAGCAGTTATAATCACTAAAGTTTTCTATAGAATTCGGGTTAGCAGTTATAATCACTAAAGTTTTCTAGTTACATTACGTAATCAGAGGTTTGTTCGACGGTAACCTAATATTGAGGGTGTAACCTAATATTGAGGGAAAAAAAAAGGTTCTTGAGTACCTCAACATCGGTTAGATCCACATCGTTTTCCATAAGGAAGGACATGAATTCCAGAAAATTTTCCTCTGTAGGAAGGTAATGTCCACTATGAGGCCAGACTGCCTATAAGTACAGAAAATATAGCACGTTAGGATAATGAAAGATGTGAAAGGGAAGAGGACTTATAAAGATGTACTTTTAAAAAGCCATCCTAAACCCAATCTTTATTCAAACTTAATATGGTTCTGTTCCTGACCTTTAGAACACCATCTTCAACCACTAGTCTACCAGCAGCCAATGTGGCTCCACCAGCCAAGAAACTTGAATGTTGAAATGTACCCTTTTTCTTGAGCCCGACATACAAAGTTTTTGATGTGCTCAAAACAAAGATCCATTTGGCATCACGTGGCCCTCCAGTTGTGTGAAGAAGTTTCCCACTATACCTGTACATAAACTTCCCATTTTCCACAACAACCTCGTAGGCCTTCCTTTCTATCTGCATATATGAACAATTGAGAACACTTTAGGACGAGGAAAAAGGAAGCCCAACAATATAGAATTTGTAATGCATGTTTTATGTCAAAGAAAAAAGGGAGCCTGCTATGTGTTCTTTGATGTTTTTTTTTTGTGACCTTGTGTTCTTTCGTATTATTATTTTTTCAATGAAAATTCATTATTTAACTAAAAAAAACCTTGTGTCAAAGGGATATCTCAGAAATGGAGGGGCTTACCGGACCAAGGTATTTGATGCATTGTTGATGAAGCCTATGTCTGGGACATCTCTCAAGGTTCACCTCTTTCCCTTCTCCTATATCAAGCCTAATATAAAGAGGATTGTTAGAGTTAATAATATTTATTATTTGTTAAGCATATTTAGATATAAATTTTCTAACCAATAGAAGAAGGGCTGTTTGCTATCACAATGAAGCCATTTGACGTAGTAAAACTGAAGATTATGACCATACCGATGCCTAGGATCGATCTGATTATGAGAAAGAAACACTGTCACGAAAAAGAAAACTGTGAAGTCTGATTTAAACAATGTCGAGAGTGGACTTACTGCCTCGAGCCAGTGCTGCAAAGCAAGTTTTCTGGCTTTTTCATCCTTTGACAAGCCTTTTCCTACCTACGGAGGATTTTTGGGTTAAGAGTGCAGATAAAAGATCGAATATATTCTAACTTAAAAGATTTTATTAGAACCAAAGCGCCAAACAATGTTTCTAACTTCACAGTTCTTAGTTACCTTGGCTGCCCTGGTTCTGGCCCTCGACCACCGTGAAATCGCTGTCTCTGGTTTTTCAATATCAAAAAATGATATTGAACTTCTCTTCAGTTCAGCAAAATCCAACAGCTTCCACCTATTAAGTGATGATTTAGGACAAGAAAACTCCAAATCTTTACCTCTCCTGCTCTTGAAAGGGTAGATTGACATGAACATGCTTAAAATTTTGAAGAGAGTACAAACGAATATGGACACAAACCATCTCTGCTCCACAAGCACAGCACAATCTGCTAACTGTCTCCTTGTCCTAAAGCTCTTGTACACTTTCTGTAGCTTCACTGCAGCATTATAGTGTTCATGCCTGGGCGCTTCGGAATATCTCGGTGTCGAGTAACTTTGACCTGAATTCCGAGGCGTCATAAACTGATCACAATTCTTAGGCCCAACTGTTGATCTCCCAAACTCACTGTTTTCCATCTCTGCAGATGGAGTTTTGAATGAGAAAACAGTCTCCAATTCCCTTGTTCTAGTGGCAATTGGTCGTTCAAATCTCATGCGGTGAGAATTGTAGGATTTGCCTGCCGCTGGCTCTGAATCTCTTCCACAGAAACTAACAGACCGCAATGGATTCCTTATCTCTCCATCTTGAAAACTAATAGATCTAACAAGAACGGCATCGAAATCCAAATCTTCTAAATCCCCCAAAGGACATGAAAATAATTGTCCCATTCTTTTTTTCCTTTTTTTTTTTTGTTTTTTTTTTTTTTTTTTTTTGTTTTTTTTAAGATCCAAAATTTCTCACTTTTATCCCAAATCACCAAACAAACCGCAATAGGGTCTCGATTTCCTGAACACCAACAAGAAAACAAACCAAATCAAAATAATGTTAGAACCGGACATTTTCTCAAGCTCTGTCCATAATTTCATCTATCATGGATAGCTCACCTCAAAATTGTAGAAAATATAAATTTTACTCAAAAAGTTGAAGGTTAAATACAAATTTCCATCTAATGATCCAATTTGTCTTAGATTCATTCTAAACAAAACAAAACAATTTCCATCTTCAACCTCCAAAAAGGGTCAATCCGGTAGGAAATAAGACATTAATTACTATTTCAGATGTCAAGGTGGAAAATAAGACATTGATTGCTATTTCAGATGTTGTTTAGCTTAAAAAAAGTAGTTACAAAGTTCTTCATACACATTTCCTCAAGTTTTGTCCATAACTTCATATTTTCACATTGGAAAATAAAATTTTTGAGGAACATCCTAATTCGTCTTGGACAAGCCTAAACAAAGCCAACATTTTTGTCTTCAAAATTCAGAATGAGCAATAAAGGTATAAGAAAGTGGAACCAAAAATAAAAAATAAAAAAAATAAAAGAGAGAGAGAGAGAGAGAAGAGAAAGGAATTGATGGAGAATGGAATGTATTCTAACCTGAATGCGAGACAATGAGGAAAACCGGAGAGGAGAATAGTTTAAGGCGAAGGAAAGATGAGAAAGTGAAGAGAGAAGAAATTCAGAGCGAACGAAAATTAGCCAAATGGGGGTTTCACGAAGAAGAAGAGGGTTGGTATCAATGAGAGACAGTCCGTACATTGTGGGCTTTGCCTCTTCACAAAGGATGCTATTGGTGGGTTTCCGCCCCTTGCCTGACTCACAAATCTTCCATTCTTGGACCTTACTATAAATAGATTTTGGAGGGAGAGAGAAACAAATCCTAGCATAACATTGCCAGCCATGAATTTACTCCAAACGGGCCTTTTATTTTTTTTTATTTTGTGTTCAGTAAGAATTTGATATATTCAACCTATTTCAAATTTTACTGTGAATTTTTAAAAATAGTTTATTTTAGTTTTTTAAAATTATTTGTAAACATATAACTTATTTTTAGAAGCTTTTCTCCCTTAAGAGTACAAAAGTTATAGAGATGACTCAGCGGGGAAACTTATCCATTTCTAAGGATAATACAAACAGTATCGTTTATATAAAAGACTATTCACTTTTTTTTTTCTTTTTTTCTTTTTGCACTGTATGTAATCTTATTTTGTATGAGTTACATGTATATTTATAGAAAAATAAAAAAAAAACTTAAAAGATTTATTGTGTTTGACACAGCCTAGGTGGGAAGAAACACATGAGATGCATCTCATCTTGTCATTGTGATCCTCAACAACACGGCCCACACTTTGTGATGTCATCATAAGTCTAGGGATGTTATCGACCTTCGTTGCTCGTGTAGACACACTTGTCGAGAATTGACCCATGAATCAATTTTATTGTCCAACACCTCATACATGAGGCATTGTACCACTGATTACTCATTCCTATGCTGACCAGGAAGTTCTAAAGCTAAAGTCTTTTAATTGATTGTTTCCACTAATGTTCAACTGATCTTTCTTTCTTACTCAGAAACATCCAAGATTATAGATTGATGTTATGCTATATCTATCCAGGGAGTTTTCTACCTTTGAAGAACAAGGTACGTGGTCTTTAATTCTTGAGAATATCTGTATGGTCTCAAACAATCCTCTTATGCATGGTAACTCCTCATCTACTAACTCTTGGTTTTATTGCTTTTATTATTGATTCGTCCTTTTTTGTCCATTCTATTTGTTCTCCCTTAACTTTTCAGCTACTTTCCGTGGATGATATCATTGTTTTAAAAGTTAAATTGGTTCTCAATCCTCAATAAAGGCGAGTATCACTCTTTTACTATTGGTATTGTCGACTTACATCGATTAACATACTTTCTGTGATCTTCATATCTTCTTAAATTTGTGGTGTGACAATTTTTCCATCGCTTCGCTAATTAGCAATCAAGTTTTTTCTTTTTATACTTTTACGAGTATGTAAATAAATCTTTATCATTGTCCTAAAAAAAAGTTGTACCAAATATAATATAATATGTCTCTCTTGACTTGTTTCCTAAAGTACTACATGAGAATGTGTTAAAACTAATAGTATGTTGTAACTGGTTAGATTGTTAGCCGATTAAAAAGAAGAATTTAAAAATAAAAAAAAAGTTAGAATTACTAAAAAACCAAACCTTTTGGGGAAAGGATGATTGATGTTTTATAACTCTTTACTTAACTAAAAAATAATTTTCTAATTTTCTCTAACGACCTATTTTGTGACCAAACAAATGTACTACTGAAAGCTCAACTCTAACGGTCTACAAATCTTTGGAAGATCTATGATTTGGTAGCGGAGGCCGGTGTACATACTTTAATGTTGGACCCTATCATCTACGATATCATTTTAGTTTTTATAATTGATATTTATCTAAATGAGTTTTTATAATTGATATTTATCTAAATGAATTTATAAATGCAAAATTTAATATATGATGTTAATGAAAAATAAAATAAAAAAAGGAAAAAAATATGCAAAAATATTTTAGATTTTATTTGAATTTTGTAAAAATCAAATAATTTATTAAATATAAAATTAAATTTTGTCTGGTAATTTTAAAAAAGAAACATAAAATTAAAATTCGAAGATATTTTTAAATTCAAATAAAAAAAATTAAAAAATTTATCGACTACGAAAAATTAAAAATTAAAATGGATTAATTTAAGTATTTAACCATAAATTAAATATTTTAGTAAAAAAAATATAAATAAATATTATGAAATAAGAAAAAACCCAACTCGCCGGTGCCAGTTGATTCCAATTCTCATTCTGTCGATCGTTAGATTTTTCCAATAACAATGGCGACAGCTACGTATCCGCCACCGCCACCGTATTACAGGCTCTACAAAGATTACTCCCAGAATCCGAAATCGGCACCGGAGCCTCCTCCGCTGATCGAAGGGACCTACGTGTGCTTTGGTAGCAACTACACTGTAAGATTTACTCTCGATTCCTTCTTCATCTCTCTGAATGCATCTTGAAATGTCATTTATATGTGAAGATTCGATTTCGACTCGCATTTTTGTTGAATTCTTTTAGCTGTTGGAGTCTGGTTTAACTTTTCATTTTTAAATAGATAAGATTTTTTAAGAACGTATGCTAAGAATGGTTTTAGGGTTTTTAGTTCCGAGGTTGTTCGTCTCTGCTTCCGAAATCTTTCATAATCTCCGTTCAGTGTGGACATTTTCGAGTTAGATTCTTTATTTGATTTGATCGAACTTATAGTTTAAACAGTGTCATGATAATCACTGTGATTTTGTTCCTTTTTCCTGATTGTTTCGTTTTGATTTTAGACCGATGACGTGCTTCCAAGCTTGGAAGAGCAAGGAGTGCGCCAGCTTTACCCTAGAGGACCAAATGTTGGTAAGTAGATTTAGTTTAGTTACCAGTGTTCCCAAATTTGGGTCAGAATTTGTTCTCCATCAGTTGTTTTTCTATTTGATAAAGAATCGCTATTATCCTCTCAAGTAAGGCAAATTTTATGCTCAAGTAATTATTCGTTTGATTTCTTAGATCTGTGGTGGTCTCTGTTTTCGTTCGGGGTAAGAATAATGCATGTCTGGGTAGCCTCCAAGGGGCAGCACCGTGGCCAAGGCTCACGGTCTCTGAGTACACTTACTCAAAGTCACATGTTTGAATCTCTGGGGTAGATTTTTAAGGAAAACTCTGATGTCTTCAGAGTTTGGGCCTTGGGGCTGGCGTGGATGCCAAAGGGAAGTGGGGTTTTATAATCCATCCCCAAGACATAAAGGCTGAGGAGAATTTCTGGAAACCCAACAATTGGCCGAGGCCAAAGGCAAAGAATAGGTAAAAAAAGATTTGATGAAATTACACACACATGAAACGAGCTAACCCCTTTTGGTCCCAAATCTTTGGGGTTGCTTTTGACACTGACATGTGTTCACTCGCACGTGCCCATGTAGATCTCTTCCTGTCGAAAGAAATGAGATTTTCGAGAAAAGAAGTCAAACCTAGTTTAAATATTTCAACTAAGCTCTGAGCACAAGTGTCATTGCTTTAAAGTTCTGTTAAAAAAAGAATATAAGTGTGATTGCTTCAAGTCTTGAGAGTCATTTGACATGTTAGCGTTACCAGTATATACAATGAAGATGTTTGGGAGATTCCTATTTCTATTGTCGTGGAAGTAACGAATTAAATTCCTGTTCGTGAAAATATTTGAAACTTAATTTAAAGACATGAAAATGTGTAGTGGTAGTGGCTGTCATGTTCTTAATATATTCCTCCTGTACGGTGTAAACAAAAAGAGTCTCTCTACCTGCCACTTGCTCGATGAACTTGATTTTTGATTGCTTGGAGCAACAATCTCCCCTGCAGCCCTCCCTCCCAAGTAAAGTCTTTTACCTGACATTATTATTGGTGGTTCTTCCTCAGATTTTAAGAAGGAATTGAGATCTCTCAATAGGGAACTTCAGCTTCACATCCTGGAGCTCGCCGATATTCTTGTTGAGAGGCCATCACAATACGCAAGGAGGGTAGAAGAAATATCCCTAATATTCAAAAACTTACACCACCTGCTTAATTCATTGCGTCCGCATCAGGTGGTTTAGTTTTACACATTTAAACTGGACATATTGTATTGTCAAAATTATCTAATTGTCAGGTCTATCTTCCCTTGTAGGCTAGAGCTACACTGATTCATATACTAGAACTTCAGATAGAGCGTCGGAGACAAGCTGTCGAGGATATAAAAAGGTATGTTGGTTCTGATCGAATATATTCATGTATGAATGTGTAATAACTTGTGCAATCAGCTACCCTTTCGTCACACGCCTTTTTTGGATTGAATGTCGTACTTTCTCGGGTAAATATTATTAAACCCAAAACTTAGGATTTCTTGTCCCTTTATCCATAATCATTGTTTTGTTCTATCTTATTCTTGGTGGTTGAGACAAGGATGTGTTCTTATAAAATTTTGAGCCCATAATTCATCGTTCAAGGCTTGTTTCTGTTCTGGCTGATAACTTCTGCATCATCTCACTGATTATTTGCTAATAGTACCACCATTGATATAATTTTCTTGTCTAGGAGGAGAGAAGAAGCTCAAAGATTACTCATGGAGTCCCTTGAAACTTTGGATGGACACTAGTCTTGTCCATGCTGAATACATTTCGCATTCAAGATCTTTAAATCCATAGTGCAGCCTCGAATGCATCGGTTCGGTCAGTTGTAATGCTTGGCTTCTACATCGACCATGCACGTAGGCTACAAATATTTGTCAATTTGTTCAAGATCTTGAAGGGGACACCCTCGCCTGCTGTGAATACAGAATCAGATTTGTTAATGTGTAGATTGATGGAACTACTTTGTCAACTTTAATTTACGGGTTCGGTATAGTGACTGTGAACTTACTTGAATTAGGTCGAGGTTGTACAACGGTGTCCTTCAATTCTAAGGTTATGCATAGTGTGAGTATGAGATTGAAAGAGATTAATGCTATTGCTTCTCTGGCCTCTAAAAGCATGTTTAAGCTCCAACTTTATGCAAAATATTACGTTAGTTATGGTTATCTTTTTTAAGTATGATCTGAATTTAACATATTATGTTTTAAATTCGATATTAGGAATAAATAAATATGGAAAAATTAAATTGAAAAAAAATTCTAAATTATTTTTAAAATACATCTAAATTTTATTATGTGATCCTAAAAAATAATAAATTAAAAATTTATATATCTTGTAATAATTATTAATTAGATATAATTTTTGTCGTAAAATCTTTGGAATTAAATTTTAAGGAGAAACCAAATTTGTGATTTAAATAGTTAAATATTTAAATATATTTTTAAGAATTAAAATCTCACTTTTAATTACCATTAAAAATGGCGGGATGAAGGCAGTTTTCTCTCTTTTTATTCAAGCACTCTCTCGTATTGCGCTCATCTTCACCTGTTCTTAGATGAATTTGTTGTGTATGTTCCTGAATCGATACCAACCATAGTGTTCCATTCTGAATGTGCTAGCTGATGGCGGTTTTGGAAGAGGATTGTTCGTCCGCCAAATCGCGATCTTCGACTTCCACTTCCAGTTCCTTGGCTAAGTGCGTTCTCAGAGGCAGTGTCGTCCTCCACGTCCTCTATGGTCACATACGTTCTCCGATCTCCCTGGACATCGTCTTTGGAAAGGTTGGTTGTGTCTTTGTTGTTGTTAATTTGAGCTGTTCTTTTCTTATGAACTCCTCCTTTGTGAAGTGTTTTGGTGTGTTTGATTGTTAGGTGTTGGTTCAGTTGTTAGGAACTAAGTTCCAATTACTTTGAGATGATAATGTATAACAATCAGCTGTTCTGCACTTCAATTGAATTGAAGCTCGTTTCCAATTACTATTATTTTTTTAGGTCTACCTTTTGACTCTGTTATAAAAATTTACTCCAAGATTTACTGCAGTTTCGATGAGTTTATTTCCAGAAAACCGGGTTCACTTAATTCCTTCACTGTCGGCATAGGTTTCATCCTATGACACATATTCAGCTTTCAATCCTGGAAACTCAAGGAATCAGATAGGGAGAATGCTGGTTTGATAACTATATTTGACAGATATTTAGTATCTCAATCCTTAATCACAAGGCTTCCGTGCAACTTTTACTGCAGTTGATTGGTATGGTAGCACTATGAGGGTGGCTGTTTCTTGG